GTATTTAGTTTTGAAAATTTTGGTATGATTCAACCTTTATTTTTTCTAGTCTTTGCCATTTTTAAGGTTAGATTACAACTAGTAGTTGGAACTGAAGAGTTATAATTCTGTTTGGGGGAATCAACATAGGCTGAATTTTGGGAGTGGGCTTTAGGGAGATAGGGTTGGCTATAAACGGTACAAAATGTTCAGTGAAGGTTTCATTATGTGGTTAGGATACATGACCCTTTTCATTCTCAGTTCTGTTTCCCCTCACATCTCCTTTGATGTTTTGTAATGTTCTTTTATTAACATTTTTCTTTTTTCATCCATTACATTGTGTGTTTCCCCTTTGAACAAAGCAAACTTGTGCCTAAATTGTATGGAACTGAATGGATGGTTAGTCTCCATTTCCTCGTATCTGGCAAGAGATATTGGGAGGAGGTAGTACATTCTAGGCTTGCTCTGCCACTGAACCAGATCACCAGCCCTTGACAGAGACTTCTTTGATGGGAAATTTGAAATGGCTTGGGAAATTTTGAGCCCATTTAAGCTGTGGCCCTGGAAAATACAGTAGAACACTCACTTGATTCCAAAGCTGAAGTACTACAGAGTAGGCTCTCTTTTTGGTACATGTTAAGGTACCAAAACCATTTGGTACATGTTAAGGTAGGATTAGGGGGCCATAATTAAATGGAGAGAGCAGGTAAAAGGGGAAGGAAAACATGCCTTTAACTCAACAAGCAATCATTTTTAAAGAGGCAAACCTTTTGAAAAATTTAAACAACAAAGATGCTTTTCCTCATTTCTAATTATATCAATAAAACATATTTCTGAAATAATTTTCTATAAGCACCTTCTTAATATGTTTTGGAGTTTAGTCTTGGTAGTACTTGATTATTATAATGAGATTGCTTCAACTGGAGTTCATGGAAGTTATTCAGGGTGGTCTTCACATTGAAAGGACAGAAATTTGAGAAACGGTGTAAGACTATTAAAGGATAATCATATAGCTAGGATCATCTAGATTTAATTGTATTTCGCTAGAACATGTGTACCCCAAGGGAAAGAGTTTGTACTTTTATTCATTGTCATAGCCCTGACTCTTAGACAGGGAAAAGTACCTAGCTTTTTAAAAAATAGATGCTCAGTAAATGGGCCAACTAAAAGTTCATGACAGCCATTTATGGAGAGAGAGATAGGTTCATGAATGTGAATTACATGAAGCTTATAGCCTAGGTGATGCCCTGTAAGATTTGTCAAGGATTCCCCACAATTTTCTCAGCTCTTGTCCTTCACTGGAGAAAGTATTCCATAAAAGTCTAATTTGTTAAACAGTGCTTTTAGCTAGTTGGGTTTAGTAAACCGTATGTGTAACCTTTAAGATTCCCAGTGTATATAATATTTTCCAAAACTCTCCTTGTATACTCTTGGAATTTTTTGTGGGTGATACCTGACATCCCACAGATTTTTATACACACACACCCACACAGGGAAAACACTGTTATTCAGAATCTATGATCTTACTACTTATGCCTTTGTAAAACATTGTGAGAGGAAGGTAATTTGTTGCAAGAAAAGTCATCTCATGACAGGACTGTGGTGGGTATCATCTAAATCACTGTTTTCTTCTTAGAGCATGCATAAAGTGATGTCGATTAATTTTCTAAGTTTCTTTCATCATAGCAATTAGGAATTGTATTTCTCAAGATGAGTTATAAATATCATAGTACTGAACAGTAAGAGAGGATCAGTTTGTTTTATAGGTATTCTGTACAAACAAAATGAGGGTTTTTTGCTTTAGCTGCTTTATAATAAATTTGATTCTCAAAATCCTTTGAATGCTTCCAGTTATGTTTTCACATAAGTGACACATTTTATAGAATATACATGCCCATTTCTTAGTGGTTTAATAAAAATGTGAATTGACTGCTATATACACCAAGTGTCATTTAAGGTACTAGCTGAGCAAAAATGACAAGGTTACTGCTCTGGAGAAGCTTTCATGGAGGATGGGGTGCAACTAATCATGACTGTCAGAAGAGGAAACAGCACCAAGTGTAAATTGTCACATGATAGAACAAATGGAGATACCACACAAGCCATAATCTCTCAGTTGCTGTTTGAGAGTAGGGAGTTTTTTTTCTGAGTAAGGAGTTTCATTTTAATACCACATAGTAGGTTAATTTGGTAGGTGGGCTCTGTCTTTCCATTTCTTTGAAAAGCTTTTTTTTTTCTTTCATTTTTCTTTTAATTTAAAACTTGTTTATTTCGAAATTTTCCATTTCACTGTGGACCAAGGATACTAAAAACTAAGTAAAGCAAAACCAGAGGTATGGTAAGACTGCTTTCTAGCCACTGTGAAGACTCCACCAGGCAGTTTCTCTAGGGTCAGGTCTTATACCTTACATTCTGGATGCCACCAACCCAGAGAACTATTTTCAGTGCCCAGCATCTGTTTTAATTTTTTATGTTAAAGAAAAGCCACTTCCTCTTAGTAGCAGTTCAAAAAACAATCAGGAGTTCCTAGGTGGCTTTCTTCCCTTTTTTTTTCCCCCCTTAGTTCTTTCTTAGACCCAACTACCCTCTAAGGCTACTTAATAGCATTCACAAGTGTTTAAAATTAATTATAATACTTTATTCAGTAAAGTTAATTTTTTTAGTTGCTATACTGTACATTTTAATTCTTGTTTTTTATTATATAGTCTTGAGTCATGTGGACTTTAGGCATTCCCTATCTACTGAGCAGGAAACTCAGATTAAGAATTATACGTCATGGGCTGGGGTTTTGGTTCAGTGGTGGAGCCCTTGGCTGGCATGTGTGAGGCATTAGGTTCAATTCTCAGCACCATACACAAATAAATGAATAAAGATTCATCAATGTCTAAAAAAAAATTGTCTGTTACAAAAATTAATTACATTCCATTTTTACTCCAATGTGCTTATACTTCAATACCCACACCTCAACTAATAGGGATCTTATGAAGCAGACTTTTTTGTTCTGTTTATAAGAAATTATAATACTCGTATTTACTGTTATGAATAAAAACCATGATCAGATGAAACACATGGGAAATTCCATGTACTTTAAGCAGTAACACCTAACACTTGGCATTAACAATATGTCAAAAGTTAGCAGTTTCCTGAAAGTAACCCCTCACCTCTTTTTTCGAAAGTAACCCTATCTAATTCTGTTTCAGGATCTATCAGTTCCCATGGCTTGAAATGAATTATGGTTACAGACATAGCATCACAGTAGTAACCCTATGTGGTTAATATAATCTGAACTGTATTTATCACAGGTTTTAGGAGCTATGGGCAGTTGACTAGTGTCTATAGTCACCTATAACTACCTCAGCTTTATTTATAAGTTATTTTTCAATCAGATTTTAAATGGATGACAAATTTCCAGTTATGTATTTTTAAGTATACCCAGTTTTATGTCAAAGAATATATTAGATGCAATGATGAATGACATATGAACCTTAAGGAATTTAAAAGTAGATCCATGTACTAATAATTTTTCAATGTAGAAAACCAGTCATGTTTACACTCCCAATATTTGTATATTTTAAGATAAAGCTAGGTTAATGTTATTAAGAAATGTTTAGTGTTTTCAGCTTTATTTCTACAAATACAGCAATTGTTGTAATGCAGGAAAAGTTATGCTGTATTTTGTTTTACATTACATAGTATGTAAGTGGTTGTTAATTGGAAAAAAAGGTTAAATTATAAGCTAGGAAAGTTGCATAATAATTATGCAAAGGTCCCACCTTTGACAGGGTCACTTAATCTAGAGGGATTTGGATTTCTTCTGTAGTACAATACTACATTTTTAAAGATCCTGTCCAGCTCTAAAAGATTAAACCATCTCTCAGGGATTTTGCTTTAATGATCAAATAGTTGTACCTGTATAAATGGAAATTACATATTTATTTGAACAAGTTTGGGTCAGTTTTCTTTACATAATTTCATCCCTGACCCTCACTCTTATAGGGGAATGTTGAACTAAGTCAAAGAGCCATAGTGTAAATTCATAATTATCATGCATGATACATGTTATTCATCTGTTCACTTACTGAGAAGGGTAAAGCAAGACCACAACTTTAAAGCCTGATTGGGCAACTTAGCAAGATCCTATCTCAAAAATTAAAAAAGGGCTGGGGAAGCTCAGTGGCAGAGTGCCTCTGGGTTCAATCCTCAGTACAACAAAAAAGAAAAAAAAGTATCTTGTTTGGTGCCTCCCTTTTGATAATTTTTTTCTTTGGCAAATATAATATTTGCTAAGACAAGTTTCTTTTTCTAGGAAAATATACTTTTTGCACATATTAAAACATTTTTGAGAGAGGAAACCATAGTAATTAACCTCCAGTTCAACAAGTGGAAGCTATTTAGAGTTTTGGAAAAGCCCTGATATACAGAGTCAGCATTTTTATAGAAAGCCATATAAAAAGAGGTTAGGTAAGTTAATTTAAAGGTCCAGAAACATGAAATTAATTCCCTCAGGCAAGAATTTGGCTTTAAAACTTGTAGTTCCAATGAGCACATAATGTCATTTTTTTGAGCTGAGCATGGTGGTGGCCTGTAATCCCAGCCACTTGGGAGGCTGAGGTAGGATGATTGCAAGTTCAAGGCCATTAATTTAGCAAGGCTCTAAGCAACTTAGTGAGACCCCATCTCAAAAAATAAAAAGGGCTGGGGATGTGGCTCAGTGGTTAAGCACCCCTGGGTTGAATTCCCCATTACCTAATAAATTAATTGTCTTTTGCCTGTATAGTTTTTTAAGTGTTTGATTACCACCCTGGACCAGAAGAGCTAATGAGATGGAGAGTTGCAGAAATTTATCCATAAACAAATAATCTTACCTCTTTGGACCATTTCCTTGCCTGTAGAAAAAAAAAAAAGTTGAGGACAAAATATTTTGTGTCACATTTGCAGTATGGCTATTCGCTGTAAAAGTATCCTCAGATGGTTTGTTTGACACATTCTACTTTCGTTTTCTTACTAAGTGTAACAAAAAAGAAAAAACACAGAAAAAGCAGTAATTTTCAGAGTATAGGTGTCTTAATGCTTGAATCTCTGCTGATTACTGAAGCGCCAATATTGACTAGACTTTGGCAGCCAGATCTTGAGTTTCTGATCTTTCTTTCTTTCTTCCCCACATCGATGACAATGAAGGAGGAAAGACAAATGGATCTGAGCCTCAGGACCTGGT